GGGGAGTTGACGCGACAGTGTATGTGTACAATTATGTACATTCTATTATACAATTATGTATATTATGTTATACAATTATGTATAATTGTTTATACCATTATGTACATTCTTTTATACAATTATGTACATTCGAAACAATGAATTTTTTTTAAGAGTTAAAAGTTTATGTGTATTATATTAAGATTTTATATGTATTATGTAGAGTAAAAGACATTTTTGGTCCTAGACTTATAGTGACACGGATAATTTTAGTCATCTTTAAAAAAAATAGACAATTTGTGGACACTCTTATTGTGACGGAGACAATTTTGGTCCTCCGTCAATATTCTCGTTAGATGGTCTGTTAGATAGGGGTAATTTCGTCTTTTTAGACCCCCTTCCTCCTTCCTCCTCCTTCATCCATCCTCCTTCCTTCTTCATTCCCTCTTACTGATTACTGACTACTGACCAAACGAAAAAAAAAATTTCATTGTAGAATTGGAGATCTCAACGAACTCATCCTTCAATTTCCTTTGTTTTGGTAGGGGTTTAACTTCCGATTAGATTTCTTCCCCAAACAAACCCTTCTTTTTCGTTTCTTCCCCAAACTCAATCCAATTTTCTTCCCCAAATTCACATCGATCTGAGACTTCATAGCCATCGTAAATAAAATTAACAAGCTACGGTTTTGAGTGTGGCCAAGTTTTCTGGGTGGAGGAGGCGGGCGAGTGGACGAGAGTGGTGGCGGCAGTGGCGAAGGCTCAGATCTGTTCGGATCTGGGATTTGAAACGCATCTGCTGGGATCTGGGATTTTTCGCACGTTGAAGCTGACCGTGAACTCCATGGGAGAGGATCTGTTCTGGGCAATCAACGGCAGCGACGACATGAGCTTTGGGGTGTTCTAATTATATAACATGAGGGACCAAATGTGCTACATTATGAACAATTAAAGGGTTAAATTTACTCAAATCAATTGACATGGGTTAAATTTCCAAAAATAAAACAATTGAGGGCCAAAAACACCGTTTTTCCTATTATAAATTATAAATTATATACTTAATTATAGTCTATTAGTCTTACTGGGTCTCAGGCTATACAAACCCTTCTGCCTTCTCCGCTTCTCGACAGTGTCTCTCATTATCTCTCAGACACCGCACGAACCCTAGTCACCATTTCCGCGTCTCTCTCTCTCATTCGCCCTCACAGACTCACAGGCTTCACAACAAGCGGCGAGTCGGCGAGAGAGGACAGAGGAGTCACAGACACAGCCATCTCCGGACACAGCCCTCCCACCTCTGGCACCTCGCACTCTCGCACCACGCCAGCATTAAATTAGTAATTTCTAATTTCTAATTTTTGTTATTGTGTTAATTTCTGTATTAAATTAGTATTAAATTTGTCTTTGTTCATGTGTTCATTGTGTTAGTTTGTTACTGTTGGGTAGCATAAAACTGCAAAATGAAGAAATTTCACAGTTGTTCATGTGTTAATTTTACTATTTTAGTATTAAATTAGTATTAAATTTGTGTTTGTTCATGTGTTCATTGTGTTAGTTTGTTACTGTTGGCAGTATAAAGTAGGTCTTGTGTTAATTTCTGTATTAAATTAGTATTAAATTTGTCTTTGTTCATGTGTTCATTGTGTTAGTTTGTTAAATTCATGGCACTCCTAAATTCATGTAATCCAGACTCCTTGCACTACTTCTACGTCTACTTGCCTTCATTGCCTTCATCATTGCCTTCATCATCCAAAGCCTCCGAGGCTTTGACCTTGCCCTGCTGCAAGCTCTTCTTGGCTTTGAGGAGGAGCTCCAAGATTTCAGAAAATGACACACTTGCTAACTTTTCATTGCAGTCCACGAATTGCTTCTCCAACACCGTCACTGCATCTGTCATGTTCTTGTAAACTTCCCGCTGTTCTGAACATAGCTGCTTCAAAGATTTATCTTTGTTGGATTGATCAGACGTGGAGGATTCTGCAGACGTGAGTGCTGCAGGCTTAAATGTGACCTGTAAAACACAAAGAAATAAAACTATTAATGTAATTTCAAAAAATTTTCTCAACCGTTGAAGAAATGAAACTTATACCATTTTGAGCGTGTCATGAATTGTAGGGAGGGATTTATCAGCTTCAATAATAAAGGATAACGCATCTGAAACTAATCTATTTCTTTCCTTTATTATCACTTGCAAATTAGCTTTTTGCTTTCGAAGGTCTTCGATCTAAATTGGACTTCTGTGAAGCCTTCCAAATCTTGTATCACCTTTTGAACTACTTTGGTAAGCGATCACATGGCCTGCAAAGAACAAGTTAATCAATTTCTATAAGCAACAGTACAGATAATAATAAGTAATAACAGACTCACAACAGGTGGCATTCAATTCACATCTGAATTCAATTCAACTAATCATCTCATGGGCATCAGAGCCACTTTGGGGGTGGTTGGATTCAATCACCTGTTATCAGAGCATGTACCTAGTTATGGGTATCAGAGCCACTTTGCGGAGAAATTCGTTCGTTCATTTAAAGACGTAGAAATAAGACATGTCAAAATGAAACTAATTGTCATTCCTCAAGAGCCCTACTTGCCTTCCTCCAAAGCCTCCAAGGCTTTGACCTTGCCCTGCTCCAAGGCTTTGGAGTAGTAGTAGGGCTTGGAGCAGGGCAAGGTCAAAGCCTTGGAGGCTTTGGAGGAAGGCAAGTAGGGCTCTTGAGGAATGACAATTAGTTTCATTTGGACATGTCTTATTACTACATCTTTAAATGAACGAACGAATTTCTCCGTAAAGTGGCTCTGATACCCATAACTAGGTACATGCTCTGATAACAGGTGATTGAATCCAACCACCCCCAAAGTGGCTCTGATTAGGGCTGGGCACTTCGGGTTTCGGTTCAGTTTTTTTCGGTTTCGGTTTCGGTTTCGGTTTCGGTTTTAAAAAAATTAAACCATTCGGTTTAAAATAGAGTTCAGTTTCGGTTTCGGTTTGAAAAGTTCGGTTCGGTTTCGGTTCGGTTTAGGTGAAAGTCTACTATTTGAACGTTTCTTTTTTTGCCTGACCGGTTGTTCAGTTGACTCACTTGAAGTGTTTTGTTGATGACAAAATGAAAAACCATTCATCTATAGTTAATATTTGAAAAATAAAAATTACAAAAACACCAAATGTTTGGACTTACAACTTGGAGTTGGGATTTGAGGACTTGAGGAGTTAAAATTATTAATTGTTATAATATTTATATACATAAAAAATTAATTAAAATATAATCAACAATTAAAGTAATTATATAATGATTTTAATAAAATGATAATTAAAGAATAGGAAACAGGTATCATAGTTAATTATATATATATATATATATATATATATATATATATGTGTGTGTGTGTGTGTGTGTGTGTGTGTGTGTGTGTGTGTGTGTGTGTGTGTGTGTGTGTGTGTGTGTGTGTGTGTGTGTGTGTGTGTGTCCATCACTTTCTTTACATCTTCTATATATTCCATCTTGGATCTTCCTGTGCCTAGCAAGCAGTTGTATATGTTTTTCCTCGAGATCAGCATATTGTTCAAGCAATCTGCATTGCTTCTTTCAGCTCTTCTGAGCACTTGTTCTCCATATCAAGTTCAATCTTTTGCTTTGAGCTAGCTAGTCTCTCCCTTTCAAGTATATGCTCAGCACTATCCTCAATCTGTTGGTTCTGGAATTGCAGACAAATTAAAGGTGTTCCTAACTTCCCACACTTTGCTGACATGAATATGTTAATCGCAGTAATGGACTTAGGTGAACACTCCACATAAAACTGCAGTTGACTTCTCAAATCCTAAATCTCCTCCAAAGGATATTCATGTTTGATGCCCATAGTCTTGCTAGCTTCAATTCTTGTTTAAGTGGATTATCTTTGCATTGTTTTAACCCATTTTAGCAAGTGGAGATCTTACTTAAACCTACTTTGAACAGGTTAGAAGAGAAAATATTAGTGAACGAATGAAGCTTAAACTAATGGATGGTGTTTTTGAGTATTCTTAAAGTTTAGCTTGTTTTCATGATAGGTGACTGGAAAAGCTGTTATGCTAGATGAGATCATAAACAACTATGTGAATTATCATATTTTTGAATAATATAGTAATCAAAACAAAGAAAATAATAATAAATTATATTTTTATATAATAATAATTTACAAATAATACTAAGCTAAGACTCACATATATGATATATTGATATGGATACACAAATAATATATATATATATATATATATATATATATATATATATATATATATATATATATGATACACATATATAATTTAACATTCATATACATATTTAATTAAAATATAATTTATAATTAAATTAATTGTTATATGATAATTTTAATAAAATGATAATTAAAAATAGGAAATAGATGTAGGTGTATGGTAAGATTGGTAGATATATTAAAAACTAACGGTGTTATAACGGTGTAAGGGTGATTTTGTCCAATGCAAATGAATGTACAACAATTAAAGCAAAATGTATATATTTATTAGCATATAAAAAAAGGGACAAAAATCAAGGACATAACTTGTATTGACACTTATTATGTTTATATATATATATATATATATATATATATATATATATATATAAAATTTAGCTCAACATACCCTAATTGTAGGCATAATACTTTATTTGACGTTACAATTGAAAGTGACAATATGATGATTGAAGGTGTGACTCGTGATTTATTTTTGCGATTACTTTAGAGACAGGGTCCTGTAAATTTAAAATTAGTGCAACAAAATTAGAATATATGTCAAGAGTCATGAGTTTTGGTCGGTCTCAACACTCTTAAATCTTAATATGTTTTTCTAATGAATTCACACTCAAATGAATGCAAATTGGTGCCCTAGAAGATTGAAGGTTGCATAGTGGATGAAAAAAAGACAGAAAGTGGGATCCATTTACCTTCCAGTAAAGATCATATACTGCTGACATAGCGGGCTGACCTGGAAGATAAGCCGATGGCGATACGCCCAGATAAAAACCCAACCAACAAATCAATCTTCAAAACCCCTTTTTCTCATCATCCTCCCTCTCCTCTCCAGCAATGGAGAAAATGGCAATTACGCTAAATCCGGTTGTTGCTTTCCCGGCAAATACAAAGCCCTCTGTGTCAGTTTTCCGTTCGTTGCCGTGCGGCTTCAAATCTTCAACCCCAAATCAGCCCATTAGAAGCACCAAAAGCTTGGTCGTGAGGGCTTCGATTGCAGTAGAACAGCAGGCCCAGAAGACGAAGGTTGCAATTATCAGAATCGGAACCAGGGGAAGGTACTGTTTATTTTTTTGCCCATTTTCGGTGTCTGGGTATGCTTGATTTTTGTAGTTAAAATGCAGTTTAAGTAGAATTGATCCTTTGGGCTGTGAAATTGATGATTCTTGAGCTTGAACCGTTATATATGTGTCAAAGATTCGATCTTTATTATCCTTTATAGTTCAGACCTTCCTAGAACAGTGATAGTTTTTCTCCCAGTTTTGTGTAAAGACTGTGTTTTTGCAACCACAATATCAATGATTGGGTTACGTGTTTTAGATCTAGTGTTTTGAAGTGGGTAAACTCCGCTTGACTCTAGCCGGCAAAGGACTAGAAGTAGGTTCTTTCCACAAGAAGTCGAACTTGGAACCTAAAGAGAGGAAGCAGAACTGTTATGATTTGATTGTTTAGGCATTTACTATTGGTTCTGTTTGTTGGACTTGGACATCAAGTGCCTTTGATCTTTCTGCTGTTCTTACGTGTTACGTTAACGTGTTTCTTTGTAGGACAGTCCACTGGCCCTTGCTCAAGCCTATGAGACACGGGATAAACTAATGGCTTCGCATCCCGAGCTGGCCGAGGAGGGTGCCATTGAAATCATAATTATAAAAACCACGGGTGATAAAATATTGAGTCAGCCTCTTGCAGATATTGGTGGAAAAGGCCTGTTTACAAAAGAAATAGACGAGGCCCTTATTAATGCAGAAATTGATATCGCTGTTCACTCAATGAAAGACGTTCCGACTTATCTTCCTGACAAGACGATTTTACCCTGCAACCTTCCTCGTGAGGATGTTCGGGATGCGTTTATTTCTCTGAGTGCAGCTTCGCTGGCAGATCTCCCAGCAGGAAGCACTGTTGGAACTGCTTCGTTAAGGAGGAAGTCACAGATACTTCACCGCTATCCCTCACTCAAGGTGACTGATATTACGCATTATGAAATACAGTTGATAGGTGGGACCTTGGTTATTACACGTTTGAATAGAAAGTTGTTTACATAAATGCTGTTCTGCAGGTGCTTGAGAACTTCAGAGGCAATGTTCAGACGAGGCTGAGGAAACTGAACGAGGGGGTAGTTCAGGCAACGTTATTGGCGTTAGCAGGGCTGAAACGCCTCGATATGACTGAGAACGTTACTTCCATTCTTCCTATAGAGGACATGCTCCCAGCTGTTGCTCAGGGAGCAATAGGAATTGCCTGTAGAAGTGACGATGAGAAAATGGCAAGGATTTTTCTGCTTTCTTGAAACTAAATTTGATTATATAACTCCATTGCAGGCTTGCAGCTCTATTTTATTTTTTTAAAACATGATTGATTATTTCAATTACAGGCCAATTACATTGCCTCATTGAATCACGAGGAAACCAGACTAGCAGTTGTTTGTGAGAGGGCATTTCTGACGACCTTAGATGGCTCTTGTCGAACTCCAATTGCTGGGTACGCCCGTCGTGGGGAGGATGGAGACTGCATTTTCAAGGGTTTGGTGGCCTCCCCGGATGGAACCCGAGGTAAAAGCAATTGCTGCTCAACATTATAATTTGTTTTTGTTTTGTTTTGCATATATATATATATATTCAACGCCTTTTATTTTCAGTCATTGAAACCTCAAGAAAAGGCCCGTACACATTGAACGACATGGTTCTGATGGGCGAGGATGCTGGCAAGGAGCTCCTGTTGCAAGCTGGGCCGGGCTTTTTTGGTAACTAAATCATTCTACAAATCGGCTCCTAACATCTAATGAGTTGGAGAGAGGTTGTGGTTTGTGTACCAGTGATAGTTGGTAGAGGTTTATGAGAGGCTCTTTATGGTTGTTGTAATTGTTATGGTGTGAGATTAAACTGAATGAGATTTTTGTAACATCCCATTATTCTTTATTCCACTTGGTTAGATTAAGTTGCTACTTCTTTGTTGCTCAACAATTTTCCAGAATTGTAGATGCTGATGCTTGCTAAAACAATCTCCAATGGTTGTGATCTATCTGATCAGTTACTTTAATTGCTCATATATGAATGATATATTGATATAGCCATGTTTCTAAACAAAAATGCTACTTGGATCTTTTTTTTTTTTTTTTTCTTACCAAATGTATTACTTGATGTGACATGCAACAAGTTTACGGTTATAAGATTACTTTTACATTTGATTCCTAACTATCACTTTTGCCAGATTTAATACAAGACTCACTATTTTGTCTCCGTTCAACTAAATTTTTGACATTCCCAATATATATTTTAGAGTATGTAAGTTATGTGTATTCACTTAAAAGTTTATGAGTATTCAGTTAAGAGTTTATGTGTATTATGCTAACCAAATCCCATTAGGTGTATTCAGTTAAAAATTTGTGTATTATGTTATGAGTTTGTGTATTATGTTAACCAAACCACATTATGTGTATTCAGTTAAAAATTTATGTGCATTATATATTATGTTAGATTATGTGTATTCTGTTATGAGTTTATGTGCATTCAAATAGAGGATTTTTTTTAACAACTTAGCCAAACGACGCCGTTTTGGGAGGCGCGGGGCGCACAGTGCTATGTGCACCTTGGTGCACGGTATAACGATTGATCTACAAATTACAACTACACATGTCAATATGGGCTAGCGGGCAGGACAAAACCTGTGGCCCAGTTGGGGTGGGCCTTAGAGGCTCACTCTTCGGCGGGTTGCTAGTAGCCTGACCCACCTCACCCCACTTATAGGCCCGTGGGCTGGCGGACTCAAATTTATAAACCTCATAAAATAATAAGATTATGGAAAAATGGTCAAATAGGCTATTTAACTTTACTCAAAAGTGCAATTAAACACTCGAATTTATCATTTTGAGGCATATAAATTCAGTAGCCGGTATTTAAAATTTCGACGAATAAAAAATTCTGACTACAATAATTTTTATTTTTATTTAACAAGGCCTTCTCAACCGGAGAAGACGACTGACTTATCGTTTTCTCCGGTGAAAACGCCCTTTCCAATGGAGAAGACAACCAGAGGTCGTCTTCTCTAATGGAGAAGGCGACCAGTCTGGTCGTCCTCTCCAATGGAGAAGGAGACTAGATCTAGTCGTCTTCTCCTAGAGAAGAGGACCATATGCCGTTTTCTCCCGGAAAAGACGACCAAAAATTATTTTTCCGTTGGAATTTATTTATTTACTAGTAATTCACCCGCGCGATGCACGGAAAAAAATTATGTTATTATAAATATAAATAAAAAATAGAAAAATTAAAATATTTTAAATTATTTAATATAATAATATTTTTGAGCTTCCATTGATCAAGTATTTATTATTTTTATAGAATACAAAATTACAATTAAAATTAAAATTAATATTAAAATTATAATTTTGTATGGTTAATATAATATCTAATTATGTGCATATTCAAATAAACTTATAGAGAGAATTTACATAATTACATTGATTTATTCTTAATTGTATTTCATGTATATTATAATTTTCACAATACGAATAACAACTAAGATAATTACATTTGGAAAGCAAATTTTAAATTTTGTATGTGTAAATTTAAACTCTAATTGAACACATTTTTTATATGATTATATAATATATAGCTATTTTATTTTTCAAAAGTATATTTTTTAAATGATTATATAATATATAGCTATTTTTTTTTTAATAAAGGATGTTGTGGCATTAATTGTAACATTAATTATTTCCCAAACCATATAGCTTTATTATATAAAGGATTTTATTTTTTTAAGCGACGGTTAATGGTGGTCAACATCAATAATTTACCGGACCCGTCCCGTCTAGGCCCGCTGGCCTCTAAAGCCTGTTCTTTGACAGGTCGCTAAATCGAAATTCACCCCTATTTATACAAGGGGAGGGACGAGCTGGTCCGATGGGCAAAAGTTATTTTGACGACTCTAATCAATAGGAACTTATAATTACAAAGTACTATTTAAGATGTACATTGAGATAAACTATATTATTATATAATTCATAATTGAATCACTGAAATTAAAATGTGTGTAACCGAATCATCAAACAAGCAAAAGAAAAATGTTTCATTTGTAATTTTTTGCTTGCTTGATGGGTCGATTGTAACCTTTAAATTTAGTGACGTAATTGCATAAAAGAGAAAATTTCAATTTTGGTTATATGACTATAGGGGCTTTGTTAATTTCAGCACATGACTTTTAAAAGTGTCAATTTAGTACCTTGACTATGCAATTTTTGTCAATTTTGGTCACTCCGGTCAAATTGCCGGCCAAATTTCGCTGAAAAATTTTAACAGTTAAAATAATGAGGGTATTTTAGTCATTTCACATCTCTTCCTTCTTCTCTGGCGAATTCATTTTTTTCGGTGAATCCGTCGCAGCAGCACACCTTCCGGTTTGACTCATTCGTCTAAGCAGCAATACCCTTCCTTCGCAGCAGCACACCTTCCGTCGCATCAATTTCACCATTTTAAATTCTTTGAAATATGAGAGCTGAATTATTTCGTTTCCTGCGAAATCCATCGCTCCGGGAGGGGTGAATTTCGTTTCAGATACTCATTCAAATTATTTAGTCTTCGTTAGATGGCACAATGTGAATTTTTGCAATGATAAAAAGAGTTTCTTCATCTTCTCCGGGGTGGAGTCATGAATCAAGTTGCCGTCGGAGTCAAACTTTGAGAATGCTGTAAAAATTACCGAGACGCCCAATCAATCGCATTTTTTTAAAAAAAATTTAAAGGTGCTGATAGAAAACATCAGTACATTATTGTAGCACAGTTAGGGTTAGGTTTAATTTCAATTCACTATACGTTAATTTGATCTTTTTATGTTTGGAGAATAGTATGTACCAGCGATAATGTTGAAAGCATCGCAGCGCACCTCATCCTCGAATTCACAGGAGAAGAAGGAAGAGATGTGAAATGACTAAAATACCCTCATTATTTTAACTGTTAGAATTTTTCGGCAAATTTTGGCCGACAATTTAACCAGAGTGGCCAAAATTGATAAAAATTATATAGTCAAGGTATTAAATTGACACTTTTAAAAATCAGATGCTGAAATTAACAAGTCTCTATAATTATATGACCAATATTGAAATTTTGTCTTCCATAAAATTAATAAGTTGAGTAGTAGTTGAAGTGTTTGAAAAAAATGATTGCACCCCAAAGTGGAGCGGACACCCCAAAGCGAACTCGGTACCACATTACATTCTTGTTGTCTTCTACTACTCCCCGCTTCATCACCTTCCTTCAATCTTTTCTTCTTCGTCTCTCTGCACAGCACACTCTGTGACTGAATACGATACACGATGGTTCCGATTCGGTTATCAATCAGGCGGCCATTATCGTTTCTGGACAAGCTCCCGCTGCACCCATTCGCACTCAATCACTCCTCATTCTTCGCTACACCTTACTCCTCCTCCGCCGCCGCCGCCGAAGCTGAGAGATGCATCAGAGAAGGTCCCAGACACGACTGGACCAGGCCTGAAATCAAGTCCATTTACGACTCCCCGCTTCTCGATCTCCTCTTTCACGGCGTCAGCTCCCTCCCTCCCTCCCTATTTCTCTCTGTCTTGTCGGCGGATGCACCGTTCGTTTCTGATTTGTTTCTGCTTTTGCAGGCTCAAGTTCATAGGCATGCTCACAACTTTCGGGAGGTACAGCAGTGCACTCTGCTGTCTATAAAGACGGGAGGTTGCAGCGAGGACTGCTCTTACTGTCCTCAATCCTCCAGGTACAACACTGGTGTCAAAGCCGACAAGCTTATGGCCAAGGATTCCGTTCTAGAGGCAGCAAAAAAGGTGCATTTTAATCTTTTATGTTTGAATTGTAAATATTTCTCATCTTATTATTATTATTTTTTGTAAGTATCATTGTGAATTGGATTGTACTCTTACTTCACTTTAATTACATTTGGAATAAATATGGCATCATTTTTGGACCACATGGTAAATACTAGTTGTAGGTTTACAGTTTTGTAAATATTAGTATGATATAAGTATAACCACATCTTAATCTTCCATCAAGATTGGAGGTTTGATATGCTAGAAATAGAAGTTCTGAAATTTGACATGGGATGGGTCAATGTGATCAATAGATATTTATGCAGATGGTATACTTATTCCAAATTAGGCAAGTCAGGTTGGTGATAGACTTCTGGAATGATATATTATTCGTCTTACCAGGAAAGTAATGGGAATAGACTTCTGTGATGTTTGTTCTCATGCTATGTAGTTTAGTCTCCCATTTAATGCATTGGCAGGCAAAAGAGGCTGGTAGCACTCGATTTTGTATGGGTGCTGCGTGGAGGGATACTATAGGAAGGAAAACCAATTTCAACCAGATCCTTGACTATGTGAAACAAATAAGGTAATGGTTATAGCTCTACTAAATATTTAAAGTGCTTGCGATGTGGTCAGGTTCATGTAAGCGTGGAAGCTGAGGTTTTCAAACAAACTCTCTTTTTATTATTTGTAAGTGGATCACACAAAATTTGTTAAGTGCTTAAGTAAAATTAAGGCAAGATTTATTGGTTGGAAGTTGGAAATCCAGAGTATTACTTTAAATGGGTTTATCTGGTACTCATTTTTGTTTTTCCTTCTTGGAGTCTTTTCTTTTCCAGCTGTATGTAGTGCATCCATATCTATTTGGAAGTGATCTCAAGAAGAAAATAATATTTGGGTTGGGAAGCCAAATAATAAAAAATAGAAACGAGTAAGTTAAAAGGCTTCTATGAATTTATTACTTGACAGTTTGTTACCAAATCTAGATGACCATTTAGGATGTAGAATTAACTAGCTGATTTGGCATTCTACTAGAAATTGTGATTTCTTTATTCAGACCATTCAAGGTGAAATTCGTGACTGATTTCTATTTGTTAATTATTTGTCACAAAGTATAGATGCTTATCTAGAAAGTATAATTAACTAACTGGTTGGGTGCTTTAATAGATATTCTTATCATACTAACAATCAGTCCGGTACATTCATTCCCAGTAATAAATTATATAATTAAAAAAATAATTTTCTTGTTTAAGGGGCATGGGAATGGAGGTATGCTGCACCTTAGGAATGCTTGAGAAGCAGCAAGCTTTGGAGCTCAAGAAGGCTGGTCTTACAGCATATAATCATAATCTTGATACTTCCAGGGAGTATTACCCTAACATTATAACTACAAGAACTTATGATGACCGGCTAGAAACTCTTGAGAATGTTCGTGAAGCAGGAATAAGTGTCTGTTCAGGTAACTCTGAATTTTAAACATTTGGTCATGAGCTTAAAGATTGGAATCTAAGTGTTGCATTAACAATTTAGCATATATGTGCTATAATTATATCTTTTCCGTAATATGCATGTGTGCCTGTGTTGATATGGGTTCAGGTGTTCATTTGGATATTATACCTTCTATTATTGATAGATAGTGTAACATTGTAATTGCCCTGATGGCCTCTCAATGTAAGATATTGATTGAACGTAATCCTAGATATGGGTTCAGGTGTTCATTTGCATACTATACCTATTGTTGATAGTGTAACATTGTAATAGCCCTAACCTCTTATTTGGACCATTTAAGTAGTTTTTTTTGGGTGTGTGTGAAAATCTTAAAGTATACTTTTATTTGCTGCAATCAGGGGGAATAATAGGTCTTGGAGAGGCTGATGATGACCGGATTGGTTTATTACATACATTGGCCACTCTTCCCACACACCCTGAGAGTGTACCCATCAATGCACTAGTTGCAGTCAAAGGAACACCTCTCGAAGATCAGAAGGTAATTACAGTTCTGCTGTGTCTGTATTTTTTAATCTAAGATGCAATAACCTGTTTTGCCTCCCTACTTCTTTATCACAAACTTGGTACTTAGTATGTCGGGTCTGACTTCATAGAACCCTTAGTGGATTAGACTTGAATGAAGTGCCATATACACAGTTTATAATGTTTTCTTAACACTGTTTCAAGATTGCATATTATAAAACATAAAATTGATCAGGAGTGACCTTTAACCTGGTTGGTTATTTTGAGGTCACAACACAATCCAATCAGTGATTATAAATAAATGTTTGAACCTGGTTTCAAGAATCTTAAAACATATTGCCTTTAAATCGGTTGTTTCAGCCTGTGGAAATATGGGATATGATTAGGATGATTGCAACTGCCCGCATTGTAATGCCAGAAGCAATGGTAAGGCTTTCGGCTGGCAGAGTTCGGTTCTCTATGCCTGAACAAACACTATGTTTTCTTGCTGGTGCTAATTCAATCTTCACCGGAGAGAAATTGTTGACGACTCCCAACAACGATTATGATGCTGACCAACTTATGTTTAAGATGCTTGGGCTAATTCCAAAACCTCCCAAGTTTTTGGAGGACTCTGAAGGGGAAAACACAGAAGAAGCACTTTCTAGTTCAGGTTGAGATTAATGTTTATTCTTTGAAAACAACAATGTTAAACCCTCTCTTACTTATGCATATTGTTTCTAAATTAAAATTGTCCAAAATCTTGTAATATTTATTTAGTAATATTTGGCTGATTACCTACTGTCACATTTTTATGTGCTCATGGAGTTGGATACTTTTGACTTTCTTAAAATGTAGTATGTGTTTATACATATTTTCTCAACCTATTGAATTCGAACCTGTGACTTCTCATTTGGGAGAGCTATAGTTATGCGGCTTGATCACACAGTTTTTGGTATAAAAAAAATTATAATATTTTTGTCTAAAGAAAAATATTATAATATTTTTGTCTTTATTGCATTTTTTGATGAATTTTAAAGTTCAATTACAGTTTAAGGTTTATTTAACTATCTAATTTTTTTTTAGATATATCTATACTCAAATACTTTCCCTTGAATTAAATACATTCAAATTATATTATAATTAAAATATCAAAATATTAAATTTCACTCCATAAAATGTAACAACCACGCTGGCACATTTTTCACTCACTTGTCTGTACAGATATTTTCGTACTTATCAATTTCTGCATAATCTCCAAAACCCATTTTTCTATGCAAAGAGACAGGAAAGCTCCATTCCACCTTTTCCATAGCAAAAACCCAGTTTTCTTTTTCAGGCTTATCAACAAACAACATAAATAGACATCAACATGTGGATAAGTTTTAAGCAATTCAAATCTAAGATAAAACTTTTTTTTTTTTTAAAGAAAAACAATATTGAATTCTTTTATAGTCCAAATTTTCTGTCTTCATTGCATTATATTTTAGATCTTATGAATCGCTTTTAGGTTATAAGGAGATAAATCGAATTAATTTAGTTTCGAAACTCAAAATTAAATTGTATACTTTTGCGTCCAAAAAGTTCAATTTAAACCAAAATTTTCAATGTTCGTAAAAAGAATTGAACAATATTGAAATTTGAGACTTTGCCATGTTGAACAAATGAAAAACTTTGTGGTAAAAAGCACCTGACCAATGGGTTAAAAGTTTAAACATTATATTTTAATCTCTTGTGTTTGATCTTTGTGAAAAAATTACCACTCTTTTTACTCGACCCCACTTGATGCAATGTGACAAGAGGAGGGCAACAACTTCTAAAAAAGAAAAAACAACTTTTTTAATTTACTCATATGGTTGTAAATCTCACCTTAAGTGATAAAATGATGATTAGTCGTTGTCATCTTTTAGTCAATTGAGTGACAAATATTGATAACAACTAATCTATTTTATTTTATTTTTTTGTACAAAAAGTAGAATTTGCATTTAAATAAGTGTTAAGTAACATCGTCCTTTTAAACACGTTGCCTTCTTCCTCGACCTTTTTCTCATGTTAGGTGGGCCACTGGGCCATGGTAGAAGTCATGAAACAATGAAAGCACTAATATGATATTTCTCACAAGCTATAATATCATTTTGGGTATGCAGCATTTTTCAATACAACCCAACATGTACTCATTCTAAACTCAAGTTCGATGTGACTAAACGAGATTAAGTTAATCCGTTAATCCTTAAAAAGTTAATGTAACCAAATAACCAATCTATTCTAATCACAATATAGAATTGGACTTTGAGCTAACTTAACGACAAAAAAAATGATTTATAAATTCTATTGAGTTTGACTCAGGGTGATTATTTATCAAATACTGACTCTGGTTCTCTAATGAATGAAGAAGGAAGAGTAATTTACTTACGAAATATCATTTTTCTTTCAAAATCTATGGCCCAAGAATGACATGAACAAGGATGAAGAAGAAGCTAGCACCCCAGTCAAGTTGACCAAATTGTTTGATAACCACAAAATTATAAGTTTGAGTTTCAATATGAACGACGTATTGACCTTCTTGGTTAGAACTGATCAGTCCAAAAAGAAGAAGCTAGCAATTAAGTAAATTTGTGTCATCATTTATTTGCAAAAAAAAGATATACACTACATTATTGGGAGGGTTTGGCATGGCCTAATTTATATATATCTATATGTGAAAAGACTCAAATTTGGTATGAGTTTAATCAGGCTGGAAAGTCTCCTTTATCTAGGCGTCTTCTCACTTCTGTCTCCTAACTTCCTGGACTCCTGGAGGAGTTAGCTAACTATCACTGACAGATTTCTCAGTATCCATCTCCAGATATACCAACTTCCATTCGCCATCCCATCAACAAGAGAAGAGAAATGGCTGCTTTCAATCTCCACCCTTTATCTATCTTCATTCATCTTTCTTCTGCAGACTGCATAATCTGACGGTGCACACAACTGCCTGTGCCCAGTATTTCAGCCTTGCTTTCACGTCCTCTGGATCATCACCTGCATTCATATATATATATAATGGCGTCAGAACAACTACCAAAACATCCTAAAAGTGAGCTTTAATTTGAATTAATTTAGGTAGGAAAAGCCGAAAAAGGTTTTTGGTAGTCTGACAATACATTTTTTTTCTCTGACAACACATTATACATGGAAATCTGCAAGGCTTTGCAAACCAGGTTGTAGTGTTCAGACATGAGTTTACCAGAAACAAGAAAAAGGAATGAACCCATTTTCTGTTTTTGGATGAAGTAGTGAAATCAAGAGTTTCCAAAACTGGGACAACCTAGTTGATCTCAACGGTAACCACAAAATTTCAAATTCGACTCTTGATAGAGCAGTCTATTAGTATTTTTAGTTTAAGTCTGATTAGCTATAAGCAATCTAAGTTTATCTGTCCGATTAGAGTCACAAAACGAGATTCACTCTTCAGAATAATAATGACTACGAGTTTTTCTCGAGTTTCCAAAACTTACCAGGACTGGAGATCTTCCAATTGGCTATGGGGCTAGAGGCAGAGGAGGGTGAGTCTGCAGAAATAGAAGAATCTGCAGGTGGGGTTTTGTGTTGATCATCCAGAAGGTACTTTTGGCTCATGGAATAGCAGAGCTCAAGAGCAGGCAAGGTGTTGCAGAGCTCAGGGATTTCCTCATAGTTAAACCCAAATCCCAGATCCAAACACCCCTTTAGCTCCTCCAGATCATCGTCTGTCAGGCTCTTTGTCCTCCCAAACCCAACTTCATCATCATCTGAGGTCTCCACATACCCTTCAAGAAACACCTGCCTCTTCTTTCTCAAATTCTTGTTGTTATCCTCGTTCTGGAGCATATTCTTTGCAGGGCTACTGTCAGGAATAATAATAATCTCCTCTGATGATGAGGAATCATAAACATCCTCCACTGTTTCCTCTTTAAGCTTTGATGGGTCTCTGAAAAAGCTTCCATGGCATTCTGCGGATCTTGATTCTGTATCATCTATGGACAAGCTTTCCATTTCTTTGCTTCTTTTTTCCTCTCTTGATCTACTCCCTCGTGTATCTCTCCGACTCAAAAAGGTGATGTTTTCTGATTGGGGAGCTAATTAAGGCAGCTTATAAAGGATTCCCCATGAATATATATGCCAGAATTTTTATTCAAGTGGGTACCCCCTCCCCACCCCCCTCTCTCTCTCTCTCTCTATATATATATATATATATATATATATATATATATATATATAACATACTTTCGGCGTTTAAAATTTTGAGATCAATGGTATATATAAAAATGTAGTTTTTTTTAATTTCTAATTTTTTTTTGATAGGCGAATTGAGTAGATTAATTAAGGTAGGAGTATTTTAGGGATTTGGATAGTAAATACAGTCCCGATTTTAGGGAATTAATTAAGATTTTTATCATGTAAAAATTAAAAAATAATGACGGATCTCAGTCATCCATAATAAGAATTTATTGGGGAGTTTTAGTAATAATAATAATAAAAAAAGAGATTAATTATTTAAAATTTAAGCGATGTTCATTTTATAATCATTGTGAACTTAAATAGTTAGTAATAATAAGATATTATTCTTTGATTTTTCAATGGTAAAAGGTGTAAATTTGTTTACACATTTGACAGAAGAAGATTTTCTCACTTAAACCCTCTTATATATATCATCATCATGGCATGCATGCATGTTTTATATAGTGCCATATATCATGATACTATGCGCATGTCTCCCTCCATCTTTAGCCCTCACTTTGTGCGTCATGATGGGATGTGCCCGCGTGATCACGTTTGTATTCAGGGGCAGTTTGGTACATATCCTTACTTAATGTTGAAGTAAGAACAAGCTTAGACTAAAATAAAAGTTATATGGATCTCAATGAACATTTGGTTGGATCTACTAGGAAGTTACAATCATCGTGTCCTTTGGCAAATTTATAAACAACTTAATTTGTGTGTGAACTGGTTGACAGACAATCAAGAGTACACCATTGGCGTTTATATGGTGGATCAATTTTCCAAGGGTCTAAGGCTTTTATTTTATATTTTTTTAATGATACTATTTGTTCTATGTGGTTTAAATGAGAAAATTTCATTTTTAATCCTATGACTATATATGTGTGGTCCACTTTCGATTTGGATCGGGTCAAAATGAATTCATGTTCTTCGTAGTGAGACGGGGAGATTGATATATTATATGCTCAAAACAGATAATAGATGAATGAGAAATTGATTTTGAAGGTAGACTCATTTAAGTTGGAAAATGGAGGTGGAAAGACTTGAGCCTTTGTCCCACATTAGAAAAAGAAGGGGATTTGCACCAATATATATATATACAAGACCCTTTTAAGAGAGATGTTGAATTGTATAGCATGGAATATATGGGCAAAGTTAGAGTGACTACTTGGCATGTTATTGGCTCTATTAACGGATTGTAGAAAGGTGTTAGCTAAAGTAGCTGTTTGATATAATTTCTTTTATTAAAATGCTAATTGAAAAAGTTATTTTGAGCATCTTTTTGAATTTTAGCATTTTGGAGTTACAAAAAGTTAATTAACCAAACACTTATATTAATTTTTTAACCAAGTCAAACAATTAATAGTGGTCAAATAAACCAAAATTGACTGATAGGCTAACTATTTTACCAAACAGGGTCATCATATAATTTTAAGTCTTTTTTTTTAATTAAAAAAAAAAAACAAAAAACAAAACATCATATATATATATATATATATATATATATATATATATATATTAATAAAAAAGTGTTGAATATACATAGGATTGATAGTAGGATAGTATCCCAAACTGAAAGATCACTACCCGAACCAACTGCTTTGACTAGCTCATGAGCTAAAAGATTATTAGATCTATTAACGAAATGGACATTTTAGTCATTTAATATATATTATTTCTAATATTTGATGCCTAATGGCCAAATAATGTTAAGAAAGATAATTCAGCAATTACAAATTATATATTAAATATAAGTAATGTCTATTGAAGATCCCAAGGTCCATGGCTAAGGACACCTCTCAAGAATGACTTTTGAGTATGAATTTCTAAAGGCATGTTATGCGAATTACGAAGTTAAATCCAACCATGAGATGAAGGCCTTGTAAAACTTGGTACCATTTGCCTGGTTTAGTATAGGGAGTGAAGACATCTTAACTTGAAATAGTTGACAATAAGAGAAAAAAAAACAAATCTCTTACCACTTAGCTGAGAATATAAAAAAAAGATTTATTACTTGTCTATTGATCGAGTATAAGAAAAAAAACTTGGCCTAGTCCATGATTACTTGGCTAACGAAGGCATAGGAAGAAGCTAAGACTTGGTACATATCACCTCATTGAGGACATAGAAAGAAGACTTAACACCTATCACTTGATTGAGTATAAAAAAAAAATGACTTGAACACTTGTCACTTAGACAAAAGTAAATATTAAAAATTATTTGACAATAAACATATCCAACAATAATAAATTCAAAATTTTTCATGTACCAAAAAATTAAAAAAAATAACGTAACAGAGCAAGACAAGTTTTTTACTCCGAATAGATGGGAATCCAAACATTTATTTTTTAGTCTTGACAACAAGAACGGATAGCAACTTGGATATTTATTTGACGTCACACACACACATATATATACACACACATCATGCATGCATATAACATCATCGATCATATGCAATTCCCTATAATGCATGTGCACATACATATACAGAGAGAGATGACCGATGGCAGTGGCCAGTGGGGGCTAATAATTGGGATTGGTTCAGTGCACAGTAGAAGACAACAACCCACGTGGCCAGTCCTTTTCCTCCCATAATACAATGCCAAACTAACTCCACACCACCTTGGATGCTTTATTTTTTATGTATTAGATTTCGATTAGACTTTAGTTTCCACCGCTATATTCTACGCACAATGAATCTTCATTGATTAATATTTTAAATTTTGAGTTCCCATCTTCGATCAGTAGAAGAATCAAACTCCATGTACTCTGCTGCTTGAACAAGACTTTCAAAGTGACCCTTGAATCCTCTAATTTTTTTTATATACATTGGATTTGAAGTTTACATTAGACTAATTCTAAACTACCAAAGCCTCTGGCCAAGAATTACATGAGATGCCCTTTTTTTCACATAAAAACTCTCAACTTAACAAGAATCGTATTTGTAATTATTCAAATACAAAAAATTATACTCCAGTCACTCATCAATTCCTTATCGGACCTTAGATGGCCTTCTTCTTAATTGTGTTGGTACAATTTTGTTCTAACCTATTTTTGCTTTTATTAATCCTCGCATCTCATCTTACTACATTAATTTAATAAAAGGTTGCTTCGTGGTTATACTTAACCATCAATTCAATATTAGTTTATGGTGGAGCCATATGCTGTCAATTTGATAAACATTTATCAGCATGATATCCAATGATCAAATTTTGTCACGAGTAATTTCAACTAGATATTTTAGTCCTTTCCGTAAGCGTTTATAGTTATTATTTTACTAATAACAATAATTGTATTGGGATTTGGGACTATAGTGGTTATTAATTGTTTACTCTTATATTAAATGAGGACATCCTAATATATTGAAAGTATTTGGTAAATAACTGTTAGCTGATTAGGTTGGTGGATTTGAGTAATTGATAGCATTAGTTAATTGTAGAAAGATGTTTGGTAAATTAGTTGTTACTGATTACATGCAAAATTACTTTCTCAAAAAACTGATCGAAAAAAACTGATCAAAAAAGCTGTTTTGAGCAGCTTTTTAAATTTTGACCCTGTTTGGTAAAATGGTTGTTAGCTGATTCTATTAATTAGAGTGTATAAATAGTTGATATTAGCTGATTGTAGAAAAGTGTTTGGTAAATTAGCTGTTAGATGATAGCTGTTTGGTGTAATTTTTTTTCTCAAAAAGTTAATTGAAAAAGTTGATTGGAGTAGCCTTTTGAATTTTAGCCTTTTGGAGTTGCAAAAAGCTAATTAACCAAACATTTATATTGATATTTTAACTAAATCAAACAATTAATAGTAGCCGAATAAGCCAAAATTGGCCTATAGGTCAACTTTTTACCAAACAGGGCCTATAACATTTTGGAGCAATAAGCTGTTACAAAAAAATAATTAGTCAAACACTTATATTGAATGTTTAACCAAGTCAAACAACTAATAGTGGTCAAATAAGCCAAAATTGATTGATAAGCTAACTATATTACCAAATATGGCCTTATATATCCATTGTTTCATATAAAAGTAGAGTATAAATCACCTAAATGCACTTAAAAATTCTCAGACTTAATGAAGTATTTAACTCCAACCACAAACATATATTGAAGCTCAAGAAATACATAAATCTTGATAGACATTCAGTTCAAACTTGATAAATATTATAGTACCAAATATCTAACTTATAATCAAAAAACATTATAGTGATTAATAAATATCCCTTTCAAATGTGATTAACATTCATCTATGTCATGATCAACAATTGATACGAGTTACAACTTATAATAAAACTTGTCCAGGTACTTAGAGAAGAGTTGTACATGTAACTGCTTGAATGAGAAAGAAGAGAAAATTTATAGACTGAATAATGTAAAGAACTGCAGAATTATTGCTCAGGAGCAGATAGTATAGTTTACATTGATACATATATAGCACATGATGAAATGTCAAAATCAACAAGCAGAAATTGAACAAAAATACTACTAGAGTTGGCAGTAATCCAAATTGACAAGTAGACAAAACTAAGGAACATCATTGAAGCCACTATCTTAGCATCTTCTTGTCCTTAAACATCTTCAGAATGTCGGGGGAAGCGGGGGAAGGATAATTGTGCTCATGGTCATTTATCACGCCAAGATAAGTTTCAGAATACAGAGCCCATGAAAACAATAGAGCATTGACTGCCATAGTAAAATAGAGTACCTTTTTTTTATAAATTCATACCCGCCAACCGATCCTCATTATGACACTGAGTTGATTGAGCTGGAGTAGTGCTTTTGCGCCAATTCCAATAGTTTATTCGCATTGGATCCACTGTTTCCAAGATTGAACAGATCTCTTTTATCAGGATTGGATCTGATGAGCACGACTCTGGAGAGAGATCATGTACTGCACTTCTCAATTCTTGGCTTGGCTCAAAC